CTGAAAAAAAATAATCGCGTGATAATTTACTATTATAACATACACTAATTATGCCGCTTTTGCATTTCAAACTTATATGACTTTCGTCTACTTCAATATCGGACGATTAATAATTATATGATGATTTTAAGTTACAACAAAAATTGACTTCTAAGCATCTTTGTGAATATCGAAGCTGTATTTACGACAACGCACTCAATTTTCCTTATGAGATTATGTAACCGCCTGTTAGTGGATCTTCATGGAATGAAACTCTGATCATATTTTATGATCGGCTTCATATAATTGGGAACAATAGACTTTATCGTCTACTGTCATTCGTCTGACATGATGAGGAGCTTCATCAGTGAAAATGCCATCAAGTTTATTGAGTCATACCTCATATGAAATCAACGTATTGAATACATTTGTGCTTTCCCGTATTTATCAATGTGTTAAACAAATGATGGAATCCTTAGTTAACTTGCCTCATTATACTGATACGTCTGTTGCGCAAATGCTTCTTGTCAATTTTCAGATTACCCATGTTCGTTAGTCCTGGACAGTATGGGTGATGCAGACTTACCTTAGATTTAACAAATTTCCACACAAACGCAGATTCCATCGAACACTGATTTCTGTAATTCTGTGGAAACTTCAAGGATTCAGTCACGAAAATTGCCATCAATCAGCATCACTGTGGTATATAGTTCGTCAGTATGTTAATAGTTTTCATGACGTCTGATGATCAGGTGTCAGTTTCAAGCTTTATCCTGGCTATGCTAATTTACTGAAGAAATGATCTGGATCTATTTATTGCACTTTCGTTATTATCAAATTTTATTTGTGAGTTATTCGTAAGGAGCCACAGTGAGAGTTTCATAGATAAGTGTCAGGTTCTCAATAGTGTTTATGTGTTGAATATTTGGTTTTCATATAGTTCGAACTCTGCTTGCACCTCACACAGTGATTACAAAATTGATCACGTCATGTTCAATAATTACTTTTATATACTATTCACGACTGACTGATAAAAAATCGGATACAAGTTGGTAGATTCAGTAGCTTTTAGACTCAGTAACACATTTGTGACACTACACCTCATTTACTGTTGCAGTATACTATACAAGTACCAAGACATTTCGGGTAAATGACCAAAAAGGTTGGAATAGTCTGAGACCTGTCACATACGCATAGATGCTGGCATAATAGAAACTGTAAAAACATCCACAAACATGTATTGATTGATTGTGACCACTCAACACTAAGTAATTTAACGTGCAATTTGACATGAAATGATATTCTTCGTATTCCAGATATTGCTGAACACAGAAACAAGCATTCCCTGAAACAATATACAGGAGGTTTCAATTCTGTGTACAACGATTGTTCATTTTCAGCGTGTCAATGCAACAGATCACCCGATGAAGTACGAAACAGTGTCTTTTGATTGAAAAAATATTTCCATTGAAGTTATTACGTAATTCTCGACGTAGGATTAGTGAAATTACACCATATCGTGTCTGTGTGTGTGTGCATATCCCACATTCATGCATTATGGCAATAATGTTGACGATTATGCGAGAACAGCTAATGGAATAGTCATTGTTTCTCGATGAAGTACATCTATAGTATGTCGTTTAACGCATCTCATTCTGTATCCAACTTTCACCTCACACAAAGTCACAGCGAAGATCAATCAATTATTCATGATGGTCGAGTGAGTGTGACTTCTTTCTTGAAATATACTTACCTAATTTTCTTAATTACTGACCATGGCCATGTAGTTCAACAGTTGTTCTAGAATAGCTCATGAAGTGACTCGTTTGAGTCTGTTTCAAATGAGACGAACGGTGCGCAACTTTCGAACTATTCCATATAAAACTGAGTTAAAATGTTTATATCAATAAAGTTGAAAACGATTGTCCAAATTTCCGACAAAATGTCAACAACGGAATTATCAAGATCACTGGAATTAGACTTCAACTAACAGTGTTGCTGTTGAATCTCCAAATCATATCTGGTGAAATATGGTCATGATCGTATACGGTCACAATATTCCGTTTCATATACACATTTTCCGTTCTTAGCTAGAACACTTTCACCGTACGTACACATAGAGAGGTAGAACTCGTGAATACACGAAACACACCATGTGGCTCAATGTTTTCAGAATTCACTGAAAAATCACGTTGATACGATTCAACACATTTTAGACCAATAATATTTTGACGTGTAAACTCCTGCAACATTTCTTCAAAACATATAAACCAAACGGCTTGAAGTTGTATCTGGACATTCAGAAACACCTTCCATAGAAAAATAATTTAGCTCTCACAACCTACAGTGGTTCAAACCTATAACATTGGCTAGCAGCAGTCAACACTAGTTCTGATTAGTTTCCAATTCGCCTTTCATCGAGTCACCGTGAGAGTAGCCCAAATGAATGATTCAACTGAAATTAGCATACATATTGCAACCAATTTATCTAATTTATACCACGAATTTTTTCTACAGGCAAATGAAGTCAAGAGACGCTGCAGTTTGATTATTTAAAAGTTCTACCACTGGGTACAATCTGAGGATTCTAACCCTTCCTAAATTTCCGGTGTTGAAAAATGAAATTTTTCAGTAATTTTGAATTGGACAGTGAAAATAGGCACTACAAACTTATTTAGTAAATACTTTTTGAAAGTATTTGCATTCATTTTGTAAATGTGTTAATGTTTGCACATTTATCACAAACGACCGTAAACGCTATTTACGTGCATGACATTAAACACACTCTCTTCCATTTTGAACAGCTCATAACTTGACACACTCTGCTAACCGATAGTAAATACACTGGTACACACACGTTTCTCGTTCTGCATTGCCTATGATTGTGAAAATATAACTGTAAAATATTTATTATCTACATTTATAGACGATAAACATACTTCCATTATATTCTTCATCTGGCTGTATGTTGGAATTACAACAACATTACTGGAATTATTAATTATCCACAATTGTGCATTATGGTGAAAAATACAGTTCGAACACGCGGAAGTATACTGATTGATGGAACGTCCCACAATTTTTCTTTGTTTTTATAAACTGTAGTTTGTATATTATAACGTAAACTTTTAGACCTAATATTTTTAATATCATTTTTCAGTTAATATAATTCTTGGTCCATATCACCCGTGTACGTTTATCTATCATTCACTTTTTTATCTAATACCTGCGTCATCGCAACACTATGCATCACATATTTTGACCTTTATAACGCTTGTTATGAGTAGTATAGAGAGTTGAAGCTATTTGCGTTAACGAGTGCCTGCATTGAATTTATCCAACTCAATCTATAATATGATCCTTTTTACAGTCATTGCCTAGATGGGATTAGCCCAGGTGCACATGTGAAGTTAGATGGAAGATTTATAGTCATAAGTTATTTATCTGTTCCACCAAATTGGCATCAGACCAGCGAACTACTAATGTTCTAAATTTTGAGTGATCAGACAAACAACGTTTGTTCCAGACGTTTAAGAAATCTTCATTCATGGGATTTTCGCTCAGTAAACGTCGTCTTCAATTTTCAAACGACGCCATGTTTTTAACACGTATCTACCTACAACCACTCTCTGTTAAATCGATAATCCTAGCTATAATATCCATATATGCATCAAACTGCAGACGATGTATTACCAACCGATTTATTAGTAATGTGTTCATGTTATCAATTTATCCACGAATGTAACAACGTGCCTTATCATTCATTGCTCCTAAATATTACATGACTGCTGAAACTAACATGCTACTCACATTGCGCTGTAAGTTGGAACATGAAGTTTAGAACCAGTCTGTTAAGTAGACACTCAGTTTATTCACCCGTCATGCACATCCGCATGTGTTAGCTTCTGCTCAACGCCTTAACGCAATCCCATGATTGACCAGCTCGATTGCATTCTTCCCAAATGATAATAACACACCACCTATCCCTTCTCTGCAGTAAATGATCAGTTCATCTGGTCATTCTACTATCACCATTCGACGAACAGCTTGATTATCTATGTCCTTCATATCTAACTATTCTTTACCCATTAACTTTGCCGAAACAAACACAAGACTACTGAGACTAACATGCTACTCACATTGCGCTGTAAGTTTGAACAAGAAATTTAGAATCAGTCTCTTAAGTAGACACTCAGTTTATTCACCCGTCATGCACATCCGTATGTGTTAGCTTATTCTAAACGCCCTAACAAGATCACTTTCTTCCTAAATAATAATAACACACCACCTATCCCTTCCCTGCAGTGATTGATCTCGTCATCTAGTCATTCTACTAGCACCATTCGACGAACAGCTTGATTATCTATGTCCTTCATATCTAACTATTCTTTACCCATTAACTTTGCCGAAACAAACACAAGGTTTGTGATGCGCATCCCTTTCGACCACTCACCAACTTAAATCAGACTTTCCTACACAGTTTGATAGTATTCTAAGGACATTTCTGCACTCCAACATCTTGGTTGGTAACTTTCGATTATCAAGAAGTTACGTATAAAGACGCTGTCAAACTACAAACAGCTATGTTGACTTAATGTTTTTTGTTGTGTCCTAACTTACCCACTTTCTTGATTTATTCTGCTTTCATATATACAAAAGACGAACGAGTTATCACTTTTTATTTCTCGTGGTTGCAAATTGATCAGACTGAGACAAATACTCGATAAATGCAGTTTAGTCTTTTATACAGTGTCCTCTGGTATGAAATAACTTAATAGTAAGAAGGAGGAGTAAGGAACGATTTTGAGTTTTTAATAATAGAATCGCTGATGAAACCCAAAACATTGTTAAAATGAATTACAAGTTTGAAGGAATAATATACTAAGTTACAATGAGAGTGAATACCACGTTTATTCTGCGATTCTTCTTCATGGGTCTCTCAGAATGAGCGGTTCAAAAAACTTTGTTAGAGCTCTAACCAGCTGATTACTTTCAACTTGTTCGAGGAGACATTGGATATTGAGGTTATGAAGGCGGCTTGTAGAAAGCAGTTCGTTACTTGGTCTGCTGTATTCCCGGTCTTCTATCCTAACTCTAAATTCCAGTTGATCAATAACTTAAGTGATTTCGAGTCATCTTCCTTTTTTTGTCGACATTTCTTCGAAAATGTATTTCAATTTGGAGTCCATACCTGCTACCGCCGATAAAATCATTGTTTCTGGATTGGACAGGACACACGATCCAATTGTCAAAAAACAAGTAGTTAAAAATATATTTTATTTGATCTTTGATTTATCACGTTTGTGAGGTTGATGAAATCTGAGAATTTACGGGACCTTTTTGAGTATGTGAGGGTTGCCAAAGAATAACTCGTAAAACTTGGAGTGTTCAAAACCATTTTTCCTGTTGTGGGTGTCTGAAAATCATTCACGGATAAATGCATATAAAGTAATCTTGTTTAAACAGCAGAACTTTTGAAAGGCATTTTCAGTATTTAATATGTTTTGTATCAGTGTTATGTGAATTGCAAATTTACACAATGGTAATGATATCGGTTATTAGTGGCTAAGCCATAGTCATCAAATAAATTTATTTAAAAAAACTAAGAGATTCCCGCAGTTTATGTACCGCTTTAAGTGATGAGGGAGGATTTCTCGCTCAAAAATTTAGATATTCAAAATAATAACTTTCATCGTAGAGTTTGTGTAAAGCCTTTCAAATGAAATCATGGGATTTATTCATTCTACATAACTCATCTCCAGCATGTGCCGAGTGTCAGCATTCGCAATTTTTGTGTTTCATGATTTTATGGCTGCATTGGATTAGTCTTATAATACTGTGTTTTAAAACTACCTTTTTGAAAGAGTTATCTTAAAAAGATTGTAAAACCGTGCTTAAATGAAAACATGTAGTCAGTTTTTTCCAAAATATCGATAAAGTTATTTGGGATAACCATATTGTCTAGTCTCGTTCCAGTTTTTCGTAAGTTACATTCCGGAATCAATTCTCAAAAATTATTCAAATCAAATCCTATGATTGATGCTAACGTATGATCTTCAGTTAAACCATTACATTATCTTAGCTTAATATTTTTCACGACTTTGCTTTGAGGATTGGCAATTCACTATGACGTTTGATTATGCTTAGTAAAGGACATGGACTGACTTGTGGAGCAGTGAATTAGTGTCCTGAACTATTGTCTTTCAATGAATCGGTTGCTTGTGTACTGTATGTGAACACAGTTTTGCCTGAGTAGTGGCTAACACTGTCGTCGTCTGAACTTTCATGAATTGATCTTCCACTAAGAGTTCCACTCATTGACTTATAATGACATTATCCTGTTTAGTGAAGATGGTTGATAAAGTGCAGTCTTTTGGCAATTCTGAGCAACAACACCGGGATGTCTGAAGTGTGTTCTCTCCCACCCCTTTGATGCAATTTGTTGCTTCAGGAATGACCTGAGTCAACACCTGAACTAAGGATAGGGAGTAAAGTAGTCGAAAACTTCACTTACCTCGGAAGTCTGGTCATCTCTAATGGGTTGGTGTCTGAAAAAATCTCTGCATGGATTCAGAAGGCCCATCTAGCTTTTGAGAACCTACGTGACCTATGACGAAGGTGAGATATCCGTCTGTCAATTGGAAGAAGTGTATACTATGCAGCAGTTCGTCCTATTATAATTCACGGTTGCGAAACGTGGTCAATAAGAGTAGAAGACTATCATCAGCAATGGTTGGAGAATCTGGGTGACTTAGTTCAGAATCAATCACAATGGCTCAGGTGTATACATTCCTTGTCTTCCCTTAAACTAAGAGATTGAAATTGCTTTATACATTTCTTTCTATGAACTAATTCTTTCTCTATGTCTTATATCCTTATACAAAATATTTCTCTTATATTTTACTACTATTGAAGTAACTACATCTATGAATAAGGCGTTCACCTTGTTGTGCTAATGAGGCGTGGCAACGTGAACCGATGCATATATGTGCCTGGTCCTGCATTGTTGCTGACTGACTGAAATATTATGTCTCGAAGATATTTTTATTCCGGTTATAGTCACCGGCATTTTAAATGTTTTTGAAGTTATGACCTGGTTTGTACGTAGTTTTATATCATCTACCTTGTTTTGTCTTTAATTTTGCTAGTTTAGTGACGGTTGCAACATGTATTTAACAGTTTTCATTCTCATTTACATTTTCTGTTTGTGTTGACCAGATTACCTTCAAAGTTGAGGAAAAACGCTTCGTTACCGCCCGGATGTCAATAACTCATGGAACTGATGGAATTACAAAGGCATGTGGAAACGTTCGTCTCAATAATTTTGCTCACCGTGCTGAATGTGCTGATATTGATGTTGAGATCGGTTCAAACCAGATGGTTTCCAAGTAATTTTTACTCCTGATAAACTCATCGTACATTGTGTAGCTTCTTGTTCCGTACTTTTCTACTAGCACTTTATCGTTATGAATAAAAAGAACCAACTCCATGATCGTCAGTGGTCCTGTGTTACACGACACATAGTGATTTCATGAATTACCAGGAATGTCATTAGTCCTTGATTTCTATGCTATCTTAACCAGTGATCGTGTAAGAGTTTATTGAACGAAATCGGTGACCATACGTCAAAAAAGGGGTAGCACGTATCAGTTTATGCTGCCTGTGTTACTGAGTATTTTGAAGCGGTATGTTGAGCCCTCGTTATTTTCGTAGTATTTTCACATTCAGTAAAAATATCACCACTGAACATCGATACTATGTGCTTAAAAGAGGTTAAATCTTGGTTCCGATAGGGCAAAAATGTTTTGTAATATATATTTTATAATGTAAATCATATCGGCACTTCAGTAGTCCGGATAGACTTTAAGTGTTATTACTGTTCGAGAAAATTCTAACTTGATGTAGTCCCACAAAATGGTTAAATTGTTTCGGCATACAATTCTTGAGTCAAATATTTTATATTCATATGACATTTTCTTTGTCAGATATGCTTAAGTGGCAAAATTCCTCGAGTTTTCCATATGATATATATACTTCTTTGTTATTACTTCAACCCTTCGTTTTGTTCTCAAAAGTATTCTGTTTCTTACCATAATATATACTTCATGTGCCTTACTTTCCTTGATTTTGATATTTTAAGTACACGTCTTTGCATTTGTATATTGAATCTTATGTGTCACTACTAAGTTTCTTGTGTCTGACACTCTTGAAAACTACACTCAAAGGCAAGAAGCAACGTTAATCCTCCACATATAATTTAAAATGATTATAATTTACTAAGAGAGCAATTGTTAATGAATACGGGTAAGTCACGTGGCACTAACTGATACCGTTGAAGATACACTGAAAATAGAATATCGAACTTTGAATAAGTCAGTAAACAAGGTTCTCTATCAGTCAGTTTGTGAATTCTGGAGTTGATCTGTTGAGAAATATTATCTTTGAAGACCCCATATCCCCGAAATCTTTCGCGAGAGATATACACTTGTGATGCGAAATATGTGGAACTCCTCTTTCTTTAATTAAATATATTCGTTCAGCTAACACTATGTCACATCATGACAACGGAGGTAAATATGAAACATCTGCTCTTAATTAATTTTGGTGGAGATGCAATGAAAATAGAATACCGGACTTCACACTGAGTAAGTCGGTTGACAAGGTTTTCTATCAGCCAGTCATTTCTTATATTCTTCTGTAGAAACGATTTGTGGCGATTGTTATCCCTAAGCGTAAAGAAAAATCCGTTCCATTCAACTCCTTCGTTATCCACCAACTGTAACGAGATTATTGTTCTAATCTTTCCAACCCTAAAGTCTCTCATAACAGGGTGGTGGAGAAAAAATGTTAAACTATTCCCCAAAAATCACCATCTAAATGTGATTAGATTAGCACAGTATTGATTTGATTTGATTGTTCAATGCCACATATTTATTTGATTATTTTGATCATGATGATTACCTTAAAGAAGTCCAGACAAGTTTGGCGGACGAAATGTTGAAATTGTATAGATTTCAATCGCTGAGATCGTTTCAAATATAGTTTACACTTTTAATGACGTCTTGTCCTTTTAATTCAGCATTTAATCTTTTTTGAAATATCTAAATATATATTGTCTGAATATTCAGCTACACTGATGAAAACCTAGCTAGCGCGTCCAATATTCTTTGAAGATAATGCGCTACAAACTAGAGCCCTTCTTTTACCGTGGTTCGAAATTTCGTTGTACTCTTATGGAAAAGCTACTGTTATGGGAGAACTAAAGACATTTGGCTGATTACAACCTTTTTATTGTAGATTCAAAATTTCACTGTGTTTTTTGGATGTATTTGTTTTACCCAACTTCTGAACTTGTTTGTTTATATCATTAGTTTTGGACATTTTGGTTTCTTTTGTCTTTGGTTTGGTATTTGGGAGTGTTTGCTCCGACAACCTACAAAATTGAAGGGTTTTTTTAATTGTTATAATTATTGTTGTTAGAACGACATTTAGGTCGACTTTTTGTACATTGCGAATAAACTTTGGTACTTAAATTGGAGTTTGGTTCTATTGTTAATTCGGGTTCGTAATTTGTAAATAGATCGGTATACCGTACTTCAATAACGGGAACGTGCAAAAACTTGGGCGTGAAATAAAGTTCTTCAATTTTTTGTTTTGTGTTCATACCTTGGATTTCTCTGGACCATTCGAATCAAATTTTTTGGCCCTATTGGTCAATTTCGTTTGGATTAATTCATATTGTTTTGGTAATCCATTCTTTTGGAACAAAGACGTACGATGGAATCGCGAAGCAAAAGACCAAAGGAAAATGACGAGGTTGAAAGTAAAGTCTCTATAGCTGTTTGTGGTATGTCTGATGTTAATGATGATAAACGTGATGATGTTAGTGTTAATAGTACGTGTTCTGATCGGTTTAGTTTCTCTAGACTGAAATTAGCTATGGCACTACTTAGAAAAAAGAATTTAGAAAAGAGGCTTGAATTAGAAATGCAACTTAAGATGTCAAGTGTTCATGAAGAGGTTGATATTGCCAAATTAGAATGTAAGGTAATAGAGTATAACCGGCTTTCCATAGATAAAGGTGACATGAATGTAAAGTGAAAAAGATATTTGGATCGTAATACTGATTGTAATGATGGTTTTGAGGAAACATTCTACATTTCAAAAGGTGGTTGGGTTGATAAGTTGAATAATACAGACAGGTCTCGTAAAGGATATTCTGTCGAAGACAAAAGAGCCTTAGAAATAGTTAATGGTTCCTTCAGATTGACGGATAGCCATTTCCAAGTTGGTTTACTCTGGCAGCGTGGCAAGTCGAGGCTACCGAATAATTTGGATCTAGTTAAGCACAGACTAAAGTGCCTTAAGAGGTTTGCGAAAGATAACAACCTTCTGGAGAAATATCTAATTGTGATGGCTGAACATTTAAGTAAGAGCTATATCACTGAAGCTAGTAAAAGGGGATTCGACCGTGATTCACTTTGTTGGCATATCGCTCGTTATCCTGTTATCAACCTTAAGAAGTATGGAAAATTGAGAATTGCTTTTGATTGTGCAGCTATCCAACAAGGTCATTCTCTGAACGATCAGCTTTTGAAAAGATCGAATGCTGTAAATATTTTGACTGGTGCACTCTTGCGATCCAGATTAGGTGAAATAGGATGAGCCTCTGATAATGAAATGTGTTCGGAAAAATCGGTTAACAGTCAGCAATATAATAATATTGGTGGGTCTCGTAATGAATCTCACGGAAAGATGATTGACAATTCACTTGTATTTACAATAAATTTGATGATGGTATTTGACTTAGGTAACAACACTACTAAGCAGTGGTTCATACGATTTAATTTGTGGCTAATGATCATTGGGAAAAGGGCTTCATGTTCTATGGACTCAAATAATTGATTGTGTGAATATACAATGGTGCCTGAAGCGATGTGTTGTGGTTATTCTTTTTCTGAAAGAACTGGAAGAGTTTAACAATGTTGTGACTTGGAATCAGAATAATGACTTCGTGGTAAATAAAAGAATTAATGGCTTGATACTCTATATGTGTTCACATATTCATGTTTACGTTAGCTTATATGAGGTTCTATGGAGGATGAAGCATTTTGTTAAATGGTTGATATTGTGGTTATTTATGCTGGCACAAATATTTTGGAGACGTTTGTCTAAGAAATATCTTTCCCTGTGACGACGTAGACACAACTTGACTCGACGAGAGATGAACATAGAAGAGAGTAACTTGGTGACGACATTTACTGGTTTTTTAGAGGAAGGCAAACGGTCATTAGGTTTGGTAAGGAGAGTGACACCTAATAATGATATGTTAAGACCGATGGAGTTGAGGACAAGTCAAGGAATCTTAGTAAGAGATATTAGGTAACTGCGTCTAGGAGTTGTATATGTTAGGTAGCTACTCGGATTCCTCAATCATCTGGATATGTTAGCGTTAAATATTATATCCAACTGCCGATACCAGCAATTTAGATCTTTTTTGAGCGCCTGAATCCACAGATTTCCTTAGAGCTCTTCTAGTGTCAATGCATTTCTCAAGATCGAGTCAAGCAAGAAGGTTGTGTGTAGGATCAGCAATCCCATCCAATGGAAAACAGCCTTAGTAAATAAACGATGACAAGAATAAATATTTTAAAATCCGTTTTATAAGTTAAGGAATCTTCATTCAGGAGAATTATTTTGCTTCATGGTGAAAGCCGAGATTTTTTGGAAGTTACAAAGTCGATGATCCTTCTTAGAATCAGAAAAACAATTGATATAAGTAGGTGGAATGTCCAGACAATGTTAGAGTCCGATAATATAAGCACACTCGTAAAATTGGTCTGATGTAATCCTAAGAAGCATGGAAAGCACCTATATGGTGAAAATGTCATGGATCCGGTAACCATGTGTCTGTTGCCATGATGTAGCTGATGCGAAAGAAGATCTGGATAGCTAGGGAAACAGCAATACATAAGTTTAAAGCAGCTTTTCCTATAGATACTGACAAACTCAACGAATGAAAATAGCTGTCAACATCATTTTCCAACTGTAGAGCAAATAGTGTGCAGAGTTCAATTTCGGCTAATGAGTTAATATTAAGCTGCTGAATGAAATTATATTTACGTTTTCATAAAGCACAAAATTAAATACGACAGTAATTGACATAGGTCATGTAGAGAACAAATTCCTGTCGCTCATCTACAGCTTTATACCAACAACTACATCAAACAGATATTGTGGTAAATGTTTAAACTAAACATAATTTAAATGTAATAATTCTCAAATGATATTTCAATGACATCTTAATGAGTATAAATTTATATTTCTAACATTTCATGACTAAACGTAGGTCACTTCTTTCTAGCATGTATAAACCAATTGGTTTGACACGAATTTAAAATGTACAAACTTTACTGATTAAGCTCAGATTATTCAAAATATGTTTTTTTTTATATACTGACTCTATAGAATAACTAACCTTCGATTGTGAAACATCAGAAACGTAAGCTCTTACCTTTCGTTTATTTCAAAGTATATTACATTTCCACATGGTGATTAGAATACTTGGCAAACGCAACTGTTAATTAAATCGTTTTAATAATAAAGTTTATTTCAAATAAATCAGTGATTCACTGCATCCGAAATTGTTCGAAATAGTTTTCGTCATCCAGCAGTTCGAAACTGACATCCATGTTAAAAAATAATCATCTGTTAACTCTAGTCAATACGTCATCAAACTAACTGTACAGTGAAGTGTTGAACTACCGTAAAAATGTTTGGTCAAATAAAAGTGAACTTCTTCTTTTCTTAACCCCTCTGTCATGACAGCATTGTTCTCTGGCTCACCAAAATTCAGAGAATCTGCAGCCAGACTAAAGTTAACAAAATCAGCTCTTCTAATCATGACATAAATTAAAAGCTATGTCAACTCTACTAATTTAATTGACGTAACCCTGTGAACTGTGACTATTCGCGTTTAGGAAAATAACTGTCAGTAAATAAACTCGATATCGCTGTAATGACAGACACAGTTAACTAACTTTGGAACAACATTCTTCGGATCATATGTCTGAATCACATTTGAGTGAGTCAGATATACACATAGACAACCATCTCGATAGACATTCGTTTTGAATTTGTCGACTGAGAAACATGTGCATCTTCATTTCATGTTCGCACACTTTTCTACAACCACAACCGTCTTTATTAGAATAAAACGTTGCAACGCATAATAAACAAGGAAAATGTTACCCATTTAGATGGTGGTTGGAGGTAGTCAACAGGAAACCCTGGACCCGGGTTTCGTGCTACTTGGCACTCGTCAGCAAGGTGTACCTGTAATCTTGAGGGAACTGGTGCTCCCTGGCGGATTCGATCTCGTGTCACCCAGCTTCACAGTCAGAGACGTTACCACTGAGCTATCCGAGCCGTGACTAACCTCCTGTAGGACTGAGATGTAATTACAATTGATTGATCACTGGGTGGTGATCAATGTCTTGCTTGTCTAGTCCTTATTAGTGCAGATCGAATGCTATCGATCATGTTGCAATGTGGCCACCAGTCTAGGTGACTCGACACTGCGACAACAATGTATTGAGATTTAGATGGTGGTTGGAGGTAGTCAACAGTGTCGAGTCACCTAGACTGGTGGCCACATTGCAACATGATCGATAGCATTCGATCTGCACTAATAAGGACTAGACAAGCAAGACATTGATCACCACCCAGTGATCAATCAATTGTAATGTTACCCATCTTCAGCAGAGATAAACTGTTTCTATGTTTATTTAACACATCGATTTCCATTCGTAACTCATTGCTGCCGATTGATTTTCAATTAACAGAACTTCCTTGTACTTTCGTCGTCAGTTTCAAAGTGAAATGGATTCAAATTCAAATAGAAGTCTTCTATGTAAAGATAACATTTCTATTAGAATTTCACTTTATTCATGCCATTGTCACTTGATGATATGACGATCAAAATACATGAGTTTATGTATTAATGTAAATAATCGTTCATTTTATCAACGGTTCGGTAATATACATCACATCTTTTAAAATATAAAGTGAGAAAATTAATGTGGTGTACAGGTCATTCCAACACAATATGTGCCTAAGATGTGTCATATGTGAACATAATGTAAAATGTATCATACACATTTATATTGAAATAAATTTTCTTTAAGGTCACACTGAAGATATCGAAATATGATCAAAGACAAGCTCCATATTAGGTAATACTGGTTAAAGCGTTGTCGAAATCCGAATCACTGTGCCATCTTCAATACGAAAATATAGTCAAGGACAAGCAAACTCAGTACGCTTGAAAACGTTAATGAGAACATGAAGTGTGATCAGTATAAGAAACGCTCATTCAAAAATTTTATATAGGCAGCTTATACAAGGCCACCCTGTATAGGTTACTAGAATTCGATCAACATTCAGACACGTCACCTCAAACATTCATGTGCGACCGACTTTAATGGTTAGGTAGACTAGATCGTTCTGTCTGGTAACTTGGATCGCTTAGA